TTAGCACATACGCATTAGCGGAAGCGTTAGTGTTGTGTAACACAAAACCTTCCAGCTAGACCACAGTGCTCTGAATAGTTTAACGAAGCTTTGAGGAAGATAAATTTTCCTCGAGGATTTTTTCTAATCAAGGTCCTCGAATGATTCGAGGAATCGTTTCAGCCCTAGTGAAGATACAACTTGAAGGATGAGTTAAGCTTCAGAATTATTTGCAACTTTTCTGCCCATCCTGTGAACAACAGAACTTACAGAACTTCTGACTTTGCGTTGCAAAACTTTCCCTCCATTTGCAGAAAGCAGCAGTTGGAAGCAGTGTTGACTTCTGGGAAGTGAACTGATGGCTACTGGGTAACTTAGTTCTTTAGACTGGCAAAACAGTGAAGGCTTAATGAAAGAAAACTACAAAACAGCTGAACATTTTTATGTTTTATTTTTTTGGTGGTGGGGGGAAATATTATGTACAGTACTAGGGGTGTCATGGTACGCTAACATCACATTTCAGTTCGGTTCAGTTTCAAGGAGGACTTGGTTCGGTTAATTGTTGGTACAAAAAAGGCCAAAATAAAGACCTACAAAACGTTTATTTTGAAAATATGCCAAGTAAACAATCTATTTGTATAAAAATAAATGAATAAAAGTGACCCATTTGGATGATATTTTAAATAAACAGCAATCTTTTCAATAAATAAATAAAAATAAATAAACTCTACTAACAATAATAAAAATCTTAATACAATAACAGTCAGACCCAGAACAATAAGACTGTTTACAATCTAACTAATCAAGTTTTAAGTTTTTGGCCGACAAGACCAACTTGTCCACATTTTATGCCAAAAGTTGCAGTGACAATATCTTCAGCAGTGGAGAAAACCTGCTCACTAGCAACAGAAGCAGCAGGAATAGAGAGTGTGGCTGTATTTGGCCTTATTGTCTTTCCACCAAAGAAGAGGGTCAGCTTCAAGGGAAGGGCACCCTCAAGCTCTGTACTCTCAACCTCTTCTTGGACCTGCTCCAGAAGGGACTTGCTACTTCTCACCTGTCCCTGGAAAAGTTCACCAAAGAGTTCAGTCATCACAGACTTCTTAGCTGGAGGTGATCTGGTGGATGATTTCCCTGAAGATGAAGAAGACAGCTGCCATCTCAGTGACATCCTCAAACTGCAAACAACACAAAAAGGTACAAAAAATGGAGGATGATTTTAAATTAAAAAGTTAATTAGAACATAATAATACAATAACAGTACCTCTTCTTACACAGTCATCATTTCTGATATGAGGTGGTTGAATCTCCTATCGCTCATCATCATCAATGTTGCAGAGCTTTAAATCTGGGGTCCAGGGCTTGTTGACGATCAGTTTTAGCTTTTTCATAAAGTGCTGGCAGAACTTTTTGGCTCTTGATGTGATGGGATGTCGTAGGCAGCAGGGCTCAAGAACTTTAATCATATGCAGCTGTGGCTGAGTGATTAGAGGAGTCGTCCTCCATTGCAAGAGTTGGGGGTTCGAATCCACCAGCAGTCACATGTCGAAGTGTCTCAGGGCAAGACACTGAACCCCTCGATGCCTCCGATGTGTGTCCCATTGGTGTATGAATGTGATAAAGCTCTGATTAGTCTTTTTAGAATGATTTGTTCAATTAGCTTTGTAGAGATCTAGTAGAGTGCTGTATGAATGGGTCAGTGAGGCACAGATTGTAGTGTACAGCGCTTTGAGTATCTTGATAAGATAGAAAGGCGCTATATAAGTACAGTCCATTTACCATTTATATGCTTAAGCAGCATGGTGGCGCAACTGGTAGAGCTGCTGCCTCTCAGCGAGCAGGTCCCCGGTTCAAATCACGGTCTGGGGCCTTTCTGGGTGGAGTTTGCATGTTCTCTCCGTGCATGCGTGGGTTTTCTCCAGGTACTCTGGTTTCCTCCCACAGACCAAAAACATGCAGCTATGCAGCAAAAAGTGCAGCTACGGCGTGCGCTCTCAGGACATTATTACCTGCAGTGTTCCCTCAGTGAGGACTGAACTAGGCAAAAGGACCTTCTCCTACTCCGCTCCTGTTTCCTGGAATATCTTACAAAAACAATTGAAGCTCTCAACCTTGACCTCTCTAAGTGGCTTTAAGAACCTCTTGGACTCTTGGCAGGGACCAACGCAGACATGTTCCTATTTTTAGTTTTCTACATTCGCCTTAGAATCTAGCTGTTTTTTTGTTACCTTTTTCTTTTAGCCATCCTATTTGTAAAAAAATAAAATAAAATAAAAAATAAATAAACCTGCAGTATGACTTTTTATAATTGTTTATTGTTGTTGCTGTGTCCATTTTTGTCATCTTTCTTTGTTGAAATCAGGTCTCTCTTGTAAATTAGTCCTCGAGGCTCAATGGGATTACCTGTCTAAATAAAGGTTGAATGAATGCATGTTAGACTGATTGGTAACTCTAAATTGTCCCTAGGTGTGAGTGAGAGAGTGAATGGTTGTTTGTCTCGTTTGTCTCTATGTGTCCCTGTGATGGACTGGAGACCCCGCCCCTCGCACAGTGATTGCTGGACATGGGCACCGGCGACCCCCATGACCCAAAATGGAAAAAGTGGGGAAAAGATCATGGATAGATGGATAAGTGGATGCTTAAGCCAGCGCATCAACAACAAAATTCGGGTGTAGATCCAGAGCTTTAAAAACTCCTACAGCTTGTGTTATTGCTCTGGACCGATCTGAATGACCTGATAAAGGTTGTTTAAATGCTGTTGTCGGTCTTTGCAACGAGTTGCTTTTCTTCCTTGTGGAAGAGACGTTCGCGTTCGGATGATGTTGTTACAAGTTGTTAACAAGTTAAATGTGTTGTTGCTGCAGATCCAATCTCTGTGAAACAACATCGACACACAGCTTTGGATTTGTTCACTTTTCTTTTCCCATTGTTGAGTTTTAACAAGAAAGCCATAATGTTCCCAAACAGGAGACCGCAACAAGATGAAAGGGTCTGGCTGTTTCATTGTCTGCTAGGCTGCTAATGCTACACGTGCTGCAAGACTACGCAACAATTAATAATGCCCTGCTGAAACACGCTTAGGAACTTTAGTTTGGCGCACAATTTCTCGTTAATAAAATTTTATGGGTGAAAAATTAACCAAAACGGTACGCACATGGACCAAACCGAACATGCAGTATCGAAACGGTTCAATATGGTATGGTATGGTATAAAGTTTATTCATTTAAAAAAAGTACAAAACAATTCCATAACAATATAAAAGAAGATACAAAAGATTTAAAATGAAAGGCAGCAGAAAGAAGAAAAAATCTTATTATATCTGCCCCTTTTTCATCCATCCATCCATTATCTTTACCCGCTTATTCCATTTTGGGTCATGGGGGTCGCCGGTGCCGATGTCCAGCAATCACTGTGCCAGGGGCGGGGGACACCCTGGACGGGTCGCAAGTCCATCACAGGGACACATAGAGACAAACGAGACAAACAACCATTCACTCTCTCACTCACACCTAGGGACAATTTAGAGTTACCAATCAGCCTAACATGCATGTTTTTGGACTGTGGGAGGAAACCGGAGTACCCGGAGAAAACCCACGCATGCACGGAGAGAACATGCAAACTCCACCCAGAAAGGCCCCTGGACCGGGGTTTGAACCAAGAACCTGCTCGCTGAGAGGCAGCAGCTCTACCACATGCGCCACCGTGCTGCCATCTGCCCCTTTTTTCAAACAATTATTTCAGTCATAATAATCTTCAAGTAACAGAACAAAATGAATAACTCTTTCTAATTTTTCTAATACTAATACAAAAAACACACTAAACTACTTCATATATATATTTTTAACAATCCAGTTTACACAATCCACAATACAATTTAACAATATACCCACATACTGTTACACAACAGTACAGTACATCCACAAACCGTAATAGAGCTAGACAGCGAAAGTTGAACCGCAAAGTAGCGATGGACTACTGTAATTAACTCTCATTTACATTTTTCCTAATTGAAACAAATAGAGAACTTGAAAAACTTTGTGCTCTTCGACATCTACTTCAGTATCTTTGCATCATTTTTAGTTTTTTGCTACTGTTTTGCTAGCTTTAGCTTTCAATCACTGATTTGTAGGTTTTAGCTGTTACCTGCTTTCTGTGGATTCAAACTTTTATCTTGTTGTTTTTAATCTCATTTGATTTTTCTTCCTCTATTTATTAGCTTTTGTTTTGCTGATTGTATATTTTAGCTCCTATTTTGCTAATCGTAGCATTTAACTACAGTTTTGCTAGTTTTAGCTTATGTTTTGTATCTATTAGATTATTATTATCATTAGATTATCTATTAGATGTCTCTAAAGATCTGAAGCTCTCGACCTTGACCTCTCTAAGTGTCTTTAAGAATCTGTTGGACACCTGGCAGGGACCAATGCAGACATGTTCCTGTTTTTAGTTTTCTACATTTGTCTTGGAATCTAGCTGTTTTTTTTTTTTTGTTTTGTTTTGTTACCTTTTCCTTTTAGCCATCCTATTTGTTAAAACAAACAAACAAAAAAAAAACCTGTAGTATGACTTTTTATAATTGTTTATTGTTGTTGCTGTTGTCCATTGTTGTCATCTTTCTTTGTTGAAATCAGGTCTCTCTTGTAAATGAGTCCTCGAGGCTCAATGGGATTTACCTGTATAAATAAAGGTTGATTGATTAGCTTATGCTAATACTAGCTTTGGTCCTGATTGTTTTAAATTGAAAACTTTGGGTTCAGCAGTCATTCAGCTTTCACGCTGCATTAGGACAGAAGTACATCTGTTTCTGGTAACTGCCAGCATGTAGACTGTAGGAGCAGCATCCAGCTCTGGTCCTGGCTCAGTAAAGACCTGGACCAGTAAGGCGAGCCTGCATCATAAGGACCTACAGCTGGATCTCATTATTCCAGGAATGCAGGGCTTTTGTGCAGAATTTGGACCGGCTTTCCCTAATCCTCTTTTCTCCCTTTCAGTTGAGCTCTGTCTACAATGCCACAGTCCCACTTCTGATGAGACAATGAGGACCCACACTCGTGGGGCCCCCACAGTCTTCTTCATAAGTTTTCTGTGGACCCTGCTCACTCCAGCATCAGCAGCAGGACCAGACCCCAGTGGAGGAATCCCCTTCATGGGAGGTAACTATGACAGTCACCCAATGCTGTACTTTGGCCGGGAAGACGTAGAGGAGCTGCAGTATGCCGCGGCAGGGACCCACCAAAACATGGCCCAGAAGATCAGGGAGGCTGCGGAGACCATGCTGGAGCACCCGGAGGAATACTTGCCTCCCTGGAATCCTGTAGAGTTCAGCGCTCGCTGGAACGAGATCTACGGAAACAATCTGGGCGTGCTGGCCATGTTCTGCCTGCTGTACCCACACAGAGCTGGGGCCCTGGACCTGACCAAAGACTACATGGAGAGGATGGCGTCCCAGCCTAGTTGGTAGGGTTTCTGTTTCCTACTGTAAATCGTTAGAGCCAATGTTCAAAAGTCCACTCACTGTAGTTCGCTGTAGATGCTGAAAAAGCAATAATGTTTATGTGTGTGTGTGTGTGTGTGTGGGGGGGGGGGGGGGTTCCTGTGTGTTTGTTACCTTGTAAGGCCCAGTTTTCCAACACATATTACTTTATGAGGACCAACTGCTCCTTATGAGGCCCACGCTTTGGGCCCCATAAGGAGCAGAGCCGTTGGTGGATTAGGGGTTAGGTTTAGGACTAAGGTGTGAATTCAGGATTGGTTAAGTTTAGGTTAGGTATGTACTGATAATGTCTAAAAAAGTTAAATCTGGTCCTCTGGATATTCAAAAAAACAAAACAAAGCAAAACAACAAAAAAATGTAGAAACGTTTCGTCTCTCATCCGAGAGACTTCCTCAGTCTGAGGTGCTGTATTCAGCTCAGTCTCTTAAATAGCACCTTCTCAGAGTGGATCAACCAGTTTTGCTGCTGACAACCAAAACCAGCTGATCACATGCTCAAGAAGGAACATCAGCCTAACAATGGATCATTAGCACACTGATGGCTGTTTACTATTCACAGAGGGCTGAGTGATACTAGCAATCACAGCATTGTAAGAGGGGGACAGTTGAACACTTAGGCCTCCACCCCTGTTTAACGATGGACGGATTATTTTCACAAAGATGGCCTCCTTTACTCCTCTGTTTTTGTCCTTGCTAAGAGTGGTGAGTGCATCCCTCTCCTCTCTACTGATGTTGGAAGGTTTGACTCCCATCACCCTTTGGAGCACAAGTTAGGAGTCATCAGGACTCTGTACCACAGAGCAGACAGCGTCCCCACTAGCTCAGGAGCCAGGCAGAAGGAGAAATCCCACACAAGACAGGCTCTAGAGCAATGTGGATATCCTAACTGGGCCTTCCTGAAAGAAGAAACCCAAACAGGACTCCAGTCAGCCAACAGGTGAAAAGGAGGAACCCAGACCCAGACCAGTGGTCATTCCATATGTTGAGGGAGTATCAGAGAAACTGAGACGTTTATTTTCTAAACATAACGTCCCAGTGGCTTTTAAACCCCAAAATACATTACGGCAAAGACTGGTTCATCCCAAAGATCCAGTCCCCCGGCACAAACAGAGTAATGTTGTGTATGCTGTTCAGTGTCAGGAGGGTGATCAGTCTTACATCGGGGAAACTAAACAGCCACTGGCCAAAAGGATGGCCCAGCACAGAAGATCAACATCATCAGGCCAGGACTCTGCGGTCTACACTCATCTCCAGGCCAGCGCTCACTCTTTCAAGGATGAAGATGTGCACATCCTGGACAGAGAGGAACGATGGTTTGAGAGAGGAGTAAAGGAGGCCATCTTTGTGAAAAGAAATCGTCCATCATTAAACAGGGGCGGAGCCTCCAGGTTCAACTGTCTCCTTCTTACAATGCTGTGATTGCTAGTATCACTCAGCCCTCTGTGAACAGTAAACAGCCATCAGTGTGCTAATGATCCATTGTTAGGCTGATGGTCCTTCTTGAGCATGTGATCAGCTGGTTTTGGTTGTCAGCAGCAAAACTGGTTGATCCACTCTGAGAAGGTGCTATTTAAGAGACTGAGCTGAAAACAGCACCTCAGACTGAGGAAGTCTCTCGGATGAGAGACGAAACGTTTTACACACTTTTGTGTGTGTGTGTGTGTGTGTGTGTGTGTTGGGGTTTTCGGGTATTTTCTGGTATAAACACCTATCTGGTTGGGACCTATAGTCCTCATGGGGCCCAGTTCTAATACATTCTGTGTACTCAGTTGTAGAAAACTTCCAATTGACCTTAGAAAGCACACAATCGCTGTAACCCAGCCTATTTTACAAAAGTTAGACTAAAATAAGCAGATGGCTGGAACTGTGTTTGGTAGTAGCTGAGAATCATCCTCAGCACGGACTCTGAGCACCAACAGGATTTGACAAAGCTTCAGGAGGTCACATACACGGATGTCTTTACAAAACGTCTACAGTTCCATCATTTCAGATGACTGACGTGTCAGAGGCAGCGTGTGATATGCATTCCTTCATGGCAAAGGCCTTTAGCTGCTGTCTGTGTTCCTTTCTGCTCAGTAGTTTCCTTCTTTCTGCACTGATGCTCTTTGGGTCTGAGGGCAGAACTTTTGTAAAAGGCTCTAGGAAATATGTTTAGCAGCTGTTAGCTGAGAGCGTCCTCCCCCACTCCCCCAAGGAGAGGAAATGAAATGATCACGTGAACTGAATGCTTCAGGCTTGAGCAGAAATGACGCCTCTGAGTCCAGGTACAAACTGGGCTTGACTCTGTCAAACAGCTGCAGCTCAGTTTGAATACCGGTAGTTTGACAAATAATAAGCCAAGCTGTTCTAATGAACACCGATTAAATTCCACATGAAACTTAAAAAGATCCAGAGAGCATTCTCACCTAACAAAAGCAAACGGTGGTGGTTCTGTGTGCACTCCTGGCATTTCTGAGCTGAAGGAAATAGAAAACATACCTAGACCTTCACTTAAACATGTCAAATATTCAGTTCACTATAACTGAGTCGGAGTCAGAGAGATTTATTTGTCATTCACATCTCATGTGGTACATGTGGTGGAACGAGATTATGTACGCAGGGTCTCAGTTACATCCAACAATAAAATGTAAAAGAAAAACATTAATAAGATCTAAGATATGAACTGACATCCTGATGCATGCTCAATAATCTAGGTAGAAAAAACTACCAAAGTTAAGTCAGGTTGTTGAGACAGTTCTCTTTTTTCTTTCTGAATCTGTCATTTAATGTTTAAAAACAAAAGTCTACTATAAATAAAAGTTTTTACAGTGTTTCATCCATCCATCCATTCTCTTCCGCTTATCTAGAGTCGGGTCGTGGGGTAGCAGCCTAAGTAGGGAGGCCCAGACTTCCCTCTGCCCAACCACTTGGGCTAGCTCCTCCACGGGAATCCCAAGGTGTTCCCAGGGCAGCCGAGAAACATAGTCCCTCCAGCGTGTCCTGGGTCTTCCTCTGGGTTTCCTCCCGGTGGGACGTGCCTAGAACACCTCACCAGGGAGGCGTCCAGGAGGCTTCTTAACCAGATGCCCGAGCCACCTCAACTGGCTCCTTTCGATGTGGAAAAGCAGTGGCTCTACTCCGAGTCCCTCCCAGATGATCGAGCTTCTCACCCTATCTCTAAGGGAGAGCCCAGACACCCTGTGGAGAAAACTCATTTCGGCCGCTTGTATCCGAGATCTCATTCTTTTGGTCACAACCCAAAGCTCATGACCATAGATGAGGGTAGGAACGTAGATCGACCAGTAAATTGAGAGCTTCGCCTTTTGACTCAGCTCTCTCTTCACCACGACAGACCTGTACAGCACCTGCTTCACTGCTGACGCTGCACCTATCCACCTATCAATCTCATGCTCTATTTTTCCATCATTCGTGAACAAGACCCCAAGATACTTAAACTCCTCCACTTGGGGCAGGACCTCCTCCCCGACCCGGAGAGGGAACTCTACCCTTTTCTGGATCGAGACCATGGCCTTGGATTTGGAGGAACTGATCCTCATCCCGGCCGCGTCACACTCGGCTGCAAAACGCTCCAACGAAAGCTGTAGATCACGACCTGATAAAGCCAATAGGACCACATCATCTGCAACAAACAGAGAAGCGATCCTAAGGCCACCAAAATGGATCCCTTCAACACCTTGGCTGCGCCTAGAAATTCTGTCCATAAAAGTTATGAATTGGTGACAGAGGGCAACCGTGGCGGAGTCCAACTCTCACTGGGAACGAGCCCAACTTACTGCTGGCAATGCGGACCAAGCTCTGACACGGGTCGTAAAGGGACCTAACAGCCCATATCAAATGGCCTGGTACCCCATACTCCCGGAGTACCCCCCACAGGGCTCCCCGAGGGACGAGGTTGAACACCTTCTCCAAGTTCACAAAGCACATTTAGACTGGTTGGGCAAACTCCCACGCACCCTCCATGACCCTGCTGAGGGTGTAGAGCTGGTCCAGTGTTCCATGACCAGGACGGAAACCGCACTGCTCCTCCTGAATCCGAGGTTCAACTATCCGATGGACCCTCCTCTCCAGAACACCTGAATAGATCTTACCAGGTAGGCTTAACAGCGTGATCCCCCTATAGTTGGAAAACACTCTAGGGTCCCCCTTTTTGAATAGGGGGACCACCACCCAAGTCTGTCAATACAGGGGAACTGCCCCCGATGTCCATGCAATATTGCAGAGTCGTGTAAGCCAACACAACCCCACAACATCCAGAGCTTTAAGGACCTCCGGGCGAATCTCATCCACCCCCGGGGCCCTGCCACCGAGGAGCTTTTTAACCACCTCGGTGATCTCAACACCAGAGATTGGATGGCCCGACCCAAAGTCCCCAGGCTCCGCTTCCTCAGTGGAAGATTTGCCAGTGGGATTGAGGAGGTCTTCTAAGTATTCTGTTCACCGACCCAACCCACCTCCAGATCTCCCTGTCATTGCTTACGTGAGCGTCGAAGTCCCCCAGTAGAACAAGGGAGTACCCAGGAGGCGCACTCTCCAGTACCCCCTCCAAGGACTCCAAAAAGTGTGGGTAATCTGAGCTGCTGTTTGGCGCATAAGCACAAACAACAGTCAGAACCCGTCCCCCCACATGTAGGCGGAGGGAGGCCACCCTCTCATTCACCGGGGTGAACCCCAATGTACAGGCACCAAGATGGGGGGGCAAAGAGTATGCCCACTCCTGCTCTGCCCCTCTCAGCAGGGGCAACTCCAGAGGGGAAGAGTGTCCAACCCCTCTAAAGGAAACTGGTTCCAGAGCCAGAGCCATGTGTTGAGGTGAGTCTGACTATTTCTAGCCGGAATCTCTCAACCTCACACACCAGCTCAGGCTCCTTCCCCACCAGAGAGGTGACATTCCACGTCCCAATAGCCAGCTTCTGTAGTCAAGGATCAGACCGCCAGGGTCCCTGCCCTCAGCCACCACCACATTG